TGCTTTCAACTTATCGTCTGTAGAACTTTCCTACTAATGTATAGCATATACATTATACATGTGCTTGCTGCCGATTCTATTCTATCCGCCGAAAACATAACAACGTGTTGATGCCGCACAACGAACTCTTTTAGCCATTGAGGGACCTCCATCTCCGTGCTGGGTTAGAGCTGCAAAAAAGCACCATAAATATTGTTAAAATGCATTAGTGTTGAGGTAAAGAAGTGTTCAGCAATAAATTATAACAATTGAGTTACTGACAATTATAAATTCATGTTTATAACAGTATGATTACGTTTTCAGTGAACTTTTATCGTCGGCGCCGACGGGCGACGGCGCGATATGTTGCGAGACTGGAGGCAGCAGCTTTTTACACGCGATTTCAGGAAATTGCCCGTGAACAGTAAATTTTTACCCGCGGTTTTATAAAACAGCCTGGACGACGATAAATTTTACCCGCGGTTTTCGAAAATCGCACTTGAATAGCCTATTTTTACCCGCGGTTTTCGGAAAAATCTGCCCAGTATTCCATTCCGGCTACTGACTAGGCCTAGTGACTCAGTGACTGGCTAATTTAGGCTTCTTTAGCTCAAGTTGAATTCATAGGTCATGTCATGGCATGCTACTGATGCTAGGTGCAGGTGCTATACCATTTCTTTTAAAAAATGGAAAATTATAAATATTTTTATTAGTGCATTTGGAAGCAAAACTAATTTCCACTTACTCAAAGTGAACCTGTACTAATTAGGTACTTTATGTTTATAGCAGAAATTATTTGGAGTTTGGACTGTTTATAGTTAATAGGCCTAGTTGTACTTTTTGCATCTAATTTATAAGCTTCTAACAATAAATTATCTATTATCTACCTAGTAGTGAGTGGGGGCTGGGGGCTGGGGCCATGGGCAGACATACGGCTTAACGGCTACAAATGGATTACTTGCCCTAAAGTCATATAAAGAACTAAAAGAAGACACACCGTTCCAGTCAATCCAGTGTCCAGCTTTTCGATAAACTCTTCTTCTTCGTTCCAGTTAGTGCTTAAAGGGAGCATTGTAAACGCATTCCCGAACAACTTGTCGACCATTCCAAACTTTGAACTACTTTGTATAGTCTAATCGCAATGAACCACAGAGGAAATTCATGTGACGGTTATATGTGATTTTGTCGCCAGATGTCGATCAATCGGGTTTATAGTTGCAGTAAAGCGCTTTTGTTGTTTTTGCCTGACATAAACACCTTAAATAAAAAATTCTGATCAATGAAGCAATCAATAACATCAATAACAAGATTACTTCTGCAGATTACAAATCACAATGCGAATCTGAAGGAAAGGTATTCTGGTATTGATGGCCTATTTTCTCATTTATGGAAAAAATGCACTATTGTGCTCGCCATGTCCGTCTGTCCGTCCGTCCGTGACCTCAAGTTTTCGTCGACGAGAAAATGCGCTCTCTGTCACTCACTGCAGAGAGTACTGAGTTATATTTTTATTAATTTCTACTAACAAATGTCCCCTTTAACTTTAGCAGATATAATAATGAACCAATTTTACAGGTATTTTTTATTTAAAAACGCGAATGAAGGTTTTCCGATTGTATAACACAAGTGCATCTAGTGCACACTATACCATAAAAGCTAAAAAGCTGAAAAATGTTATCTAAGGAGCAATCTGAAAAACTTATTTTTGCCATGTTTGGTTCTTGTGAATTCAGTTTCTTGGCTTGTTTGACGCCATCTTTGAATTGATCTTCTGCACGAACTCCCTGAAAATAGACAAATGCTAATTTATAGTGACACATTATAATTTTTATCAGTAATCGTATTTTCTGTTTCGATATTGGATTAATATTCACGCTAATATATAGTGGTGTAAATCGGAAAGTAACAGTTCCGATTCGTAACTATCCAATCACAATATATCCACAATTTGAAAGTGACCATAACACACGATACAGAATTATAGTCACAGAAGTAAGCGACAGAGAAAAGAGACGCAATATCTGAGCAGATATACTATGTACAAGTTACCTGAACTGATCAAGAGCTGCAATATCATTGCTAACATCGCTCGTGTCCTCGGTCAGCTGCAGTCCCTGGACCGCAGCCTGGAGAGACTCCACTTCTTCTCGCGCCGCTCTCATCACTTCACTCTGAAGGCAATGCATTTAGTTAGTCTGATCCTACAAAGTGGCGCCCGACGAGCAAAAGCATATTACTTAATGGATTTTAATATTCAAAGTATGCACACAACAAGAAAGATCAATACAATTTAATAGGCAAAAATCAATGCAATTTTATATGCAAAAAAAAATCGTTCTATTCGTTCATCTTATCTTTTCAAACAGGTAAACGGCGAAAAAGATTATGCAATTTTTTGGTCGTATATGTAATTACTAAAGTCTGACCGCTACACAGTGTTTAATAGGCAGTGAAACAGAAAAATAAGGAACAATAATTGATAACAATAACTCCTTTATAATCATTATCTACTAGAAATAACCAAGACCTCCTGCGCCTCAGAGTCCGCTTCTAGGGCGTCCATCTCCCGTAGCTCCGCTGCCACCTCAAGCGCGCTCTCGACGAATTCCTTCCTGTAGAACAAACGATTTCTCTTGTTTTACGAAAACATTTTGTCAACATATGTAGCGAGGGAGTTTTTTATACAATAAATAATAATTATCTGATTTATCACACAACCCAACAATTTCTCTCATTCTATGAAACGATTTGGCCAATATATACTTGGAGTGACATTTTGTCGTAATAAACCTTTGCTTACGTTGCCTAGCGGAGCAGCTTCATTCAGTATGCACTAGTTCCAGTGAAAAGGCTTGTCTCTTCAGTAAGACAATAAAATTACAAAGTAATACGCATAAACACAATATAAAAACGGGGCTAATAATTATCATTAACATAATTCAAGATAATTATGATAAAGCAGCGGAACATACACGGCTTGTTCCTTGAGCAGCTCGATGTCAGCGCGGCGCTTCTTGCGCTGCTGAGTGAGGTGAGCAAGCTGCTGCTGCTGCGCCGCTAGCTGCGTAACGCTGGCCTGTAGCCCACGCTCCCGTTCCCGTAACTCACGCTGCTTCTCTGCACATAAAATTCATGATCTTAAGCATAAAGTTCACCGCTTTTCTGCATTGAACTTCATGATCTTACAGGAAAATTTGCACTTGCTACTCCGTACACTAAAATGATGATCTTAAACGTGGAATTCTGTACTCGCCATCCAAAATTTATGATCTTAACCATAGCGTTTGTTGTCACTCTGCACCCAAACTTCGGTTGTTGTCTTGTTTGCTTCTCAATTATAGTCCAGACAAATTATCTTTATGCTATTAACCACGCAAGTGTTTGAAACTGGAATAATATCCACATAAAAAACAGCTGTTTCTTGAATTGAAAATTTCACTCCAAAAAAGAAATGAACTTCATTACATCAATTAATTACCGGTTTGAACTTTAGGTAAATATGTTCTTTTTTCAGATAATTGCGCAGAAATAAGCCCTATTTGACAGCTATTTTATGCAATAAAATAACGTCAACATTTATATCATTTAAACTAACGCGAAATTTATCTTCACAAAAATGGAATTGCATGATTCTAAAAATTATCTTGTAGAAATATTAGGCTACAGTATTGAGGTACCGGTGAGATCGTTGATGGTGCAGCGCTGCCTCCTGCAGATGTCGCCAAGTTGCCGCAGCTGACTATCAAGTGAAGATTTCTCGTTCTTTAGCTCACTGGCGAGACGTTGCTGTTATAAATTAATATATTTTTAATAGCAGAATAATGTAATAAGTAAATAAGGTAATGTTCAACTACTTTCTAACAAGTTTAAATGCAATTGTTGGAAGCACAAACAAAAATTAATTGACAACCAACCAAGTTTTAAGACTGTATTTCGAATTTGGTTACCGATGTTTGGTGAATGCGCTTTCATTTATGGCTTTCAATTTGCTATGAAATTCAGTTTAAATTAAATTCTCAAACTTTTTGTTATCGCATATCACTTGGGGGCTCCGCAGTCACTTCGTCCCGTTAACAACACTTATTGAGTGCGTGATTTTGGTATAGTTTTAGATGTATAAAAGACATAGTGCTACACCAAAGCAGAACAAAGGATGGAAAAAAAATCGGTAAATGCTACTCACAGCGCGGACAGCTTCTCCTCCCATGCTGTCAATCGTCACGTCAACATCATCTCGACGTTTACCAAAAAAGTTCCCGGCCATGCTTCTTGACATCTTTCGTAAAACTGTAAAAGAGCGAAAAACAGGCAACTAATGATTTTTTGAGTAACAGAGAAAAAAATTGTCCTGCAAAACAATGGTTATTTAAACCAGTTTTCTTGTTCATTTACTATGGTTTATCAATAGAGACACTCCTTACTTACCAAAAACACGTGAACAAACAGCGTTTAGGTAGCACAATGGAGTCTGTTGAAGATAATTGATGGCAATTGGTCGAGATGCTACGGGAAACACTTTACTCCAAAATATGCTTATTTATTACGGAAAAAATTGAAAGTGTTTGCTCGTCATGTGATATTAGAGATAGATATACGTTGAATAGTGGCTTGCTAGTTGAGTAATGATAGGTTTTACAATTTTATTAAGGACTTGTTAAACATTTTAACAAGGTAAGTTATAAAATTTTGTGAAAAAATTAGATTAAACTTAATAAGAGTAGTTTTTTCAATCATATCAACAAATGCACCCACATGTAAAAAATTATTGAAACTCAAAAATTATTGAATATTTGTTTTTAAAGTGTATGACATTGCCCGTTGAAGAGCCATTTCGTAACCATGGCAACATATTCGATAGGAACAATGCTTGTGCGTGCAACTCTCACAACTAGCGTTGCGCTACTGCTTGACTAAAGATGACAGCACATTGAAAGATCTATACTAAAATAACCTGCGAAAAAGGCAGCAATGTGAATATTACAGATTAAACGCTCATATCCTATAATAAATTACGATACATAAACACATTCCTATTTCAGGTGTGTTTTTGATACTACTCATGTTGAGCTACCAGTAAAGGAAGGGGAAAGTCTATTTTCTGTTTCATCTATTTTATGTGCGACAGAGTGAAACTAAATTACCAAATGTAAAAACTGCTTTTATTTCACAGGTGGTGATTTATACAATTAATCTGGCTTCTGTTGAGGCTTTGCATTCTTAATTTTTACGAGCTTCGGCATTTTCGTATATATCTGACAAGACCATGTCCGAGTCTCTTCATACGGACAAAAAAGAACCGTCTATCACTCCTCAATTCATTGGTGTTAGATTGAAGCCCCCGGCTGTTGCTCTCAGATATCTCACTGCATCAGGTAACTATCGCACTACATTATGTTGTAATAGTTTACGCGGTGAACACTTTTTGATAAACCTATTCAACAAACAAAATTACAGGTAGAGCTCATTTAGTTGTTTCCGAGAGCTACCAGTTGAAGTATAGGCCTACATGTATTTATAATATAATCAACAGTGAGACACTGCCAAAGATTAGATGTTCTATTCTAACTTCGATTTTCGAGTTTCTTATCAAAAGTTTGGTTGTATAAAGTTGTCGTTTGTTACCTTTGCCTGTACAGCCTACAGGTTAGTCTTCTGAAATCAGACTATCAGTACATTTGAAAATAACCGTTTTACCTTTTTTTTTTTTTTGCTTTGTGATGTTACTCGCAGTGCCGTCATTAACATTTGAGTGTTCAAGACACCTAATTGTTCATGATACACGCTTAAATTAAATTGTTCAAGATACGTGCTTATTTATGCATCTAATCAGAAAAATCAAATACCAACATTTTAGTTAATTTAATAAACTTTTCAATAATTAAGAATGACTAAACACAGATTCATGAATCTATGAACATTTATGAAAAGCTTTCCTACCAACGGCGAGTAAAGTGTAGTGACTTTTGCAGCAATAATAATACTAAGTTGAAGATATTTCACTCACTTGTATTTTGCAGGAGCTCCGCGAGTGAGACTAATGCCTGTGCGTGGATTGCCAACGTACGGACCTGTGACGCTGCAAGTTGCCCAGCTGCGACAACGCCACACAAACTACCTCAGTAAGGTTGGTGGCCATGTCACTAGCCTTTCGTCACCGTTTTCGCACGTTAGTAGATTTGCACCAATCAAAGAGGCGTATTAAACTATTATATATTCGTATTCTCGCAAGAATAACAAGTAAAGTAGGAAATTGGTGGTTCAAATTCCCAGCTACCTGAAAGTACTTATTCAAAATTTACCACAGACCTGAAATTTATCGCCTTCAAATGAAAGGTTCCAGACGTGCGACTGGAAAAGCTGGTTCGGCTGCTCCAGGAGGTGTCGTGCGGACGACAGATGCAGGAGGCGGTGGAGGCTCTCAACAAAGAGTACACTATTGACCCTAATCAAGATCTCAATAAACTCTCTGACGTAGACATCGAAAAGAAAAAGAAGGTTAGACGATTATGGTTGTTGATTTCCATTCTACTAATGGAGTCAGACAATTTCTATGTCGTGTGTAGTCTTGGAAGTTGGGGTAATTGAGAATGGATTGAAATTAATTTATAATTGCTTGAAGAACAATATAGCGATATAGCGATAGTCACCATAAGTGTTCCTCAACAGCATGAAACGCAACAAGGGTTTCAGAGTAAGAAACACAATTCATGAATTGATTATCGGCAACGTCGCTTGATTCGAGAGGCTAGACTTAACCTATTTAACGCTTACATCACTATTATAATACGAGTCACCCTAACGTTTACAATTACACGAGTTACGAACTTAAGTCGGGTAGGGTGGCCCAGTGGTTACAGTTCAGAGTACCAAGATTGGAATAGAGAGGCGCGGGTTCGATCCCAGCTCTGTGCGCCAGCTTCTGGTCAGAGTCGGCAAGGAGGCCGGGCGGTTAAGCTAAAGCAGAATTGTAGCAGTGAGTTGCGAGTTCGTGACCGCAAAACACTGTGAATGTTCTGCGATGTCAAAAATTGGCGACAGGCCTACGGCCTAATAAACGCTGAAACCGCTATATTTTTGAGGCAGGGCGGCCTAGTGGTTAAAGTTCAGAGTGCCATGATTGGAGCAGAGAGGCGCGGGTTCGATCCCAGCTCTGTGCGCCAGTTTCTGGTCAGAATCGACTAGGAGGCCGGGCGGTTAAGCATAGCAGAATTGTAGCAGTGAGTTGCGAGTTCGAGACCGCAAAATGCTGTGAATGTACTGCGCTGTTAAGAATCGGCGACATGCCTACGGCCTACTAAACGCTGAAACCGATATTAGTATTATTGTCATGTCAATACGCTATTTCCGTGTGCAGATAATGGACTCAAGTTTTGTACTGAGTCAAGTGAAGCCTGGAGACCCAGACTACGAGTATGACAAAAGAGTGGACTTCGCTACTGAAGACCAGCAAGACGCGGGCTGGGATTCCAGCGATGAATTCTACGGCTAGGTAAAACAGTCTTTCAACCAAGGCTTCAATTTTGTAAGCCCTAAACCAATAAATTGTTCAAATAAATGCAACGGTAACCAATTTCATTGGTATATTCCTGCGCAGAGGTCGAAAATGACATTTTACTTAGTTCTCATAGACTATTTACTTTATAATTGAAAATTCATAATCGCAACTCTAAACAAGTTTGCCTTGAGAAGATGCTGCAATCTTTCCATCAATTGAGTGTTTTTTATGCATTTGATAATGACGGATAACCGACTGAAACCTTCAAGGCCATAGTATGAACAAAGTTTCAAGGATTCGTTCAACAACATATAGCTTTATAATCAGGGATAAAAGAAACTCGGTTCGTTCAAATATCACATTCTCCACACTCCGTAGCACACATAAGTCCCTGGACAAGATGGTGTTGGATACTCATGGAAATAAATGGTGAGCAAGACCGTAATACGTGCAATATCCACGCAGGAACGAGCACAACGCCCGTAAATAATCTCTAGAACTTCAACAAATACTCAAATAATCCCGCACGTAGCAAACACCGCGAAGAAAAACATAAATAAGATTTATTTTATCCCGGAATGGGGGTGACTGGGCACACGAAGCTGTGATTGAAAGCGCAGTAATGAACATATAATTGGCTTTGATTGATGGGGTCAACGAAATGAGGTCATAATATTTTATAATGATATAGGGAATATTCTTAATATTCTATGCAAATTTATCTTATGGGCAAACTCATCATTCTAGCATCTCAACGAAAATTAATTCCTTGAATCATAAGCGAATCTACGGCAAAAAAAAAAAACTTATTCCACACAACACCCACAATAGAGATCTCAACAAGGGATTTTAATGCAAGAACATAACTGCACACGGCAAGCAATTAGTGATGTTGCGCTTTTTGCTATAACTTTAATTTACCTGAAAACATCGCAACCAAACCCAATTCGACTTTATAAAAAACACAAATACATCATCTACTTGAGCCTGAACATAAAACAAAACTTTGAAACCTTACTGTCGAGAAAGAAACGCGTAAATAGCATCAATCTACTCTCATGAAATTAAAGTTAGAGTGCCACGAGTAAGGTTAGCATCGGGACAAATGTAGGCTCAGTCCAAAGGCGGGGTGGTCAAAAACCGTTCCTATCAACACGTGCCTCGCAAGTCAAGCATCAGGACTTCAAGTGATCAAGTTTCGTGCAGTGGATTCAAACATTATCAGTTGTCAATCATTACCATAGTTTACCCAAGTGGTCTACAAACTGAGGTACCACACAACCTCCCTCGGGTGGGGAAAAGGACAGGTAAACTATTTATGGGGAACACGGGGATAAGGTAATGAAATATCTTTTATTGACTTCACGCTTGATGTGGTATGGTAACTCGGGTAATGTTCCTATTATGGGATGTAAAATTAGGTAACAATGCAAAAAGGTTTTGTATCCCAGTTGTACAGCTTTGAATATTTTAAAGCCAAGTTCAGTGAAAATTTTTGCTAATGGCCGGTAGGGAAAATTACTTCAGCCGTAAAAGAAAAATCTAAGACTCTCTTAAAAAAACATGGTGGACATGATAACATGCAAATAACTCTATAGTTGCAAATATTATCAATAAATAAATATTGGTGCAAGAAATAAATGGTGGCCATAAAAACATCCATCATTTCTCGATAATTCATAATATCACCAAAAAATACGTTTTGTAGAGCTGTACGCTCGGCAACGAGATTTTATTCTGAAATCCCTGAAAAATAGAATAGAATCTTTTGCTTGAATAAAAGATCATTCCTTGCATTGCTTGCTGAAGCGACCATAAATGTCATATACTGCTGAAGAGCGTAGCTGCAAATTGGACCAATACATTCGATAGCATAGACTTCGTAATATATTTTTAAAGACAAACGAACCCCAAGTTAAGCCAGAAGAGCACTGACAAATGATTAAGCAAATGTAGCAGAACTGTTGCAAAACCAGAGGAGATTTGACAGGCTAACAATAAACTTCTCAATAAAGGATATTATCAAGGACGCAGATTGATCCTTTCAGAGAAATAATTGTGAATCTGTAGATCATTACTTAATTCGTATCTTCAGGGCAGTGGCTTCCACTACGTAAATGATAGCTATCATAACCATTTCAGCACAATCAATACTCCGTAACTTCCATCCATGATCAATTTGGTTTAGCTTTATGATGCAATGAAGGTTCAATCTTATAACGAAAACTCAGTCAAGCCTTCGCAGTTTAGGAACTAACATATTGAATCATACGAGTGATAGCAAAATAAATTGTAAAATTACAGTTACAAACAATAATATACTCTGCGCATTGCCTGCAGTACCCCATGAACAACATCACATTCATCACACATACTCTTGAATTTACAAGTTCGTATGAAGAACAAGATATGGTAAACCCGGCAACCGACGTTCGGGGAAACTAATCAATCCATACATTAGACGATTCAACAAAATCGATTCATTTAGATTAGACGATTTAACGAAAAATTAACATAAATTCAACGAAAGTCCAAAATAATACGACGAATAACAAATTTGTCATTGCATATCTGTTAAACAGAAATTCATCACTAACTTACGTAGCACAAGTGCTAGAGTTGCATGAAGTGAGGCAGGCTGATGCTGACGTTGATCGTCAGCTTTTTTTTAAACCAAGCCCACATATTGCGTTCGTTTAATAAAAACCGCCTGTATGTGCCCGAGGTCATCAAGGGCATCTAATATCAGTATAAACGTCGTGCAATAATAGTAAATCTTATAATGTGGTTAAATTTCAAATGAAAAAGGATAATATCTCTTAAATTCGAAGAAATCTATATTGGTTTTTACAACGAAAGATTTTTCTATTATAGAACAAGGGAATATATGTGGCTTGCAATGATTATCTCATCTGGTAGATTTTAATCCTTACACGACAGAGAACAGCTATAGCTTTACGCTATATGAGATGCAATAATAATTGCGACGAGATACAGCAATAGTTTCATGATACACGAGATGTTCTATTTATTACATCGAGAAATAGCAATAGTTTTATGGTATATATTAGGCATTGAGAACACAAAGCGTACCTATCGTTGCAGCTGCAAGATGGTTTGATTTTTACACAGCAAATGTAGCAAAAGGTCATTCAAGCAGACAGTATAAACTGTTATTCTTTTTCTTTATTTAAACTAGACTTTACAGAGCGCACGATTGACGCAGCTAACTATTCATGTACAAGAATAATCCGTGCAACACAGTGACGTAACACGTAACTAAAATACACACCGACATCCTACAAACAGCGCAGGAGGTGACAGGTCTTTTGTTTATACAACTACATGGGAATGGGTGCCGCTACTGCGGTTGCTGCAGGTTGTTGTTGTTGTTGTTATTGTTGCGTTGCTGACGAAGGTGAGGCGGGAGGTAGCGAGCCTGACGCAGGATGATGAGCGTGGCTATCAGCACCGTCAGCAGGATCATCAGGAAAATGTCCCAGTCAGGGCCTAGCAGCACGTCGGGGTCAAACTTTGCTAAGCTTTCTCTCCAGTTGAACTGCAGCACCGTAAAATGTATCAGAAATTTACTTTGATGATACCATGAGAAACTATAATGACATTGTATCGTACTGTACTCGCATAAGTAATATAAAAAAATTGGCCTCCAAGTGCATCATAGAAAATAATGATTAGAGCTGGCCGTCAGATACTAGTTCTGAGTTTGTAAACAAAATATAAACTCAAATAACAATTAGTTGGTTCTGTATATACTTTATCATCTCAAAGAGAGTCAACTTCGGGACTCAATATTTCCGCAGAGAAAGAAGACTAAGATATAACCCAGCATACATTAAAGTAGTGAAGAACTTTTATTACTCTTCTCAAGCTCAGGACATCTCAGGACATTCAATGGCTTCCAACGGACAATCTTTTCAGTAAAATAATAATAATGATAACCAACCTCGGCCAAGAACTTGAAGGCAAAAAGAACTGCAAGTTTGGCAAGCGCGAGAGCGACGGGCACCACGGCATCGCTGTCAGATTCCCGGGCCTGGTCGTAGAAGCGCTTCGCCAGGTGCATGTCCTGGCATGAATAATATATTGTAGAAGATATAATGAGGACAGTGACGAGATGCACAGTGAAGGGAGAAATGCAGTGCACATTGCAAGCTAATTCGATAAAAAAATATAACTCAGTACTCACAGCAGTGAGTGACAGAGAGCGCATTTTCTCGTCGACGAAAACTTGAGGTCACGGACGGACGGACAGACAGACAGACGGACATGGCGAGCACAATAGTGCATTTTTTCCATAAATGAGAAAATGCGCTAAAAACGGATACAAGCCCACAGAAGAATATTAGTCCGTGTATCGAGGTGGATTTGCATACATTTTTGTTTGAATCTCACTCTATTCAGTATTTTAAATTACAATTAGATTAGAACCAGTTTTCGAGAAGAGGAATGATGGATAACTATTTTTCGAATTATTAGCCAATGCAACAAGTTGATCTACTCTACATGCTCATGCATGTAGCCCAGGTTGAACAGCACCCCACGCACCTGGTTGAGACCCTGCCCCTGCTCATGCATGTAGCCCAGGTTGAACATGGCCTGCGCGTTGCGCTGTTGCTCGGACGCCAGGCGGTAGTGGGCGGCGGCGGCCTCGTAGTCGACGTTGGTGCCCCAGCCGTAGTAGTAGTGGTCGCCTAGCTTCACGCGCGCAAAACTGTAGCCCTGCAAACATTTCAACAAGCTCAGTATGATGGAAAAAGTTTGTCTTTGCGTGTAAACCAATGTTTATTTCGGAGGTGAATAACTATGTAAAGAGACTTCACGTATCAACTTATTACCAATGACGATCAGACATCTAACGGTGGCAATTCTTCTTTTCTTCATTGGATTCTATTCATGCTCATAAGATAGTACAGCAATTAACAATAGAATGGTTTAAAATTTGCTCACCAAGTACTTGAAGAAACTTATAAATTTGAGTCCAAACCATATATTACTTTTAGTGATACGGAATTCTTTTTTGTTACCATTCAATAATTAGTAGCCAATCCTCGTTTCTTAACTCAGTGAAACAGACTTTTTGAATACGTACCATTACCACATTACCAATACCACAAGTATGACCATTTTTCCCAATTTCCATTACCCTTCCCGTTTTCCTAATATCGTAACTATAAGCCTTCTACTAGCAGTTTTCCTAATATCGTAACAGTAAGCCTTGCACTAGCAGTATCAATGACCTGGCCAGCAGCGCGTCCCCAGTACATGAGGGCACGGCTCAGGGTTTCCTCCTCAGGGAAGAGAGAAGGGAAAGGACCGTGGCGAGCCAGGATGTAGGCCGCGTTGGTCTGCGCCACCTGCAGCACACGGACGAGTCAAGTTCATGTTTGGCCTGACCATAAACTTTGCATATAGAACAAAGAAACTAATTCTCATCACTCGCTTCATATTTTTGGATGCGTTATCGTTTTTTCAAACCTTTCTTTATGTATTTAAAGCAATTCTGATAATCAAAAGTAATTTGGTGGCACTTCTACGGACAGGTATTTTCAACAATGACGCTACGCAAAGAGGGACTTCTATATTTTTTTTTAAATGGAAACATATTAAACAAGTGCACAGTTTTACCACAAGTTATTTTACCAAATGATACAAATTATAATTTTTTTTAGGTTATGGTCAGTTGCTAATATTATTTGCTCATAACTCGGTAATAAGGTTCTTTGCAGAGTATGACGGCCAGGATCTCAAGTAGGTGTTTCCAAAATAACATTTATGATTCTTAGTTCACTCACAATAGGAACGCTGATTACAGGTAAAGAATGAAATCGTCTTAAAAAAATTTTGCCTTGACTATATACAGTATAAACAAATTGGTAATGTGCATTACACTTGCCCAGAGAAAGGAGTAATTCTGTACATGTACCTCGTATCCGAGATCATAATTCATTATACTCTCTCAGTTAAGTAAAGTAATTCTGTACGTGTACCTCGTATCCGAGATCTTAATTCATTATACTCTCAGTTAAGTAAAGTAATTCCGTACATGTACCTCGTATCCGAGATCATAATTCATTATACTCTCTCAGTTAAGTAAAGTAATTCTGTACATGTACCTCGTATCCGAGATCATAATTCATAATACTCTCTCAGTTAAGTAAAGTAATTCTGTACATGTACCTCGTATCCGAGATCTTAANGTGTCAAGATATTGAACTACTAATGGGTGAAATGTGACTATGCATTAAAAAGATACGAGGGAAAGTGTGTCAAGATATTGAACAACTAATGGGTGAAATGTGACTATGCGTTATAAAGCTACGGGGGAAAATGTGTCGAGCCATTGAGAAAATAACGGGAGAAATGTGGCAATGCGTTAAAAAGCTACAAGGGAAAAGGAAAATGTGTTTGGCCATTTAACAACTAACGGATGAAATGAGATAATGCATTAACACATTGACTCCGAAGTGGTACATATGCGTACCACGAAATGTATTTCTCCAGGACGAAGTGGTGCATAATTCAGGTTGCCTAAAATCGGCCAAATCCGAGAACAAAAAAGGCCGACAACCCAATATATACTAGTTTATTTGTAGGTTCCGCTATAAAAATTTCATTAATTTTCTTTTTCCAGTACTTAAAATTTAATTAAGAAGTACCCCTATCATAAATTTTAGCCGGCCAACGTAATTGAGAAGAACTAAATCACGGAATTTGTCCGGAAAAAATAACCGTCTGGCAACCCTGATTAAAAACAGTACAAAAAATGAAATAATAGTACAAGATGAAGCAATCGTAGTCAACGTGTTAAATAGCTAAAGAGAAAAATGTGGTGAGCCAATGAACAACTAAGGAGCAATATGAGACAATGCATTGAACAACTACGAGTTACAAACGTGGTGGGCTATTGAACAACTAAGGGGAAACACGATAAAACTATGCAGAAAAATAGAAAAAATATACAACTTTAGAGGATATATTCAATAAGCCATTTCCTTCACATTTGGCGCCCAATTTTCATTGGAGCCATGAGCTCAGTTGCTTATGAACTGTAAGAAGCTGGCCTGACCTCGACGCTGGTGTGGCAGGAGCGCAGCATGCCAGTGCCGGTGCTCTGCATCTGCGCCAGCGAGTAGAAGGCGAGCACGTGGCCAGACTGGGACGCCAGGTTGTAGTTCTCGATAGCCTTCTTGTAGTCTTTTCTCACTCCCAAGCCACCTATGTTAGAACAATTTCATGAGTTTCATTTGCCATTGGTATAATTCAAAATTACCTACCCAATATGTCTATGATTAAAAAATATAGACAACATTAGACACATTGTCGAACAAGAAAATATTCACGAGCCAACACTTACTGAAGTGCATGTTACCGAGCAACAGAGATGATAATGCCAACAATACTTACTGAAATACATGTTACCGAGCAACAGAGATGTTAATGTCAACAATACTTACTGAAGTACATGGTGCCGAGCAACAGAGAAGATCCTAGAGACAATACTTACTGAAATACATGTTGCCGAGCAACAGAGATGATAATGCCAACAATACTAACTGAAGTACATGTTGCCGAGCTGCAGTTGTCCGTCGACCCAGCCCCGCTTGGCTGCCAGAGTGAAATATTTGAGCGCCTCCTTATAGTCCTGCTCGACGTGGCGGCCATGCAGGTACATGAGCCCCAGGCCGCTGTAGCCCACGGCGTTGTTGAGGTCTGCGGCCTTCTTGAAGTAATTGTAGGCGGTCTCGTTGTTGGCCGCCACGACCTTCCCGCCCTCAAGGTACATCTGTTTAGGACCATCTTATGTATGTTAATTACAAGCTCAAGTACCCAGGGGCCGTATTATCAAAACTTCGTAAGTACGCAAAATCGACTTGCGAGTGGCGTAAGTGCTGACTTGATGACGTAACTCTAAAGGTGGTATTATGAAAACATTTGCGCGGGAAGATACGTAACGTAACTGTACGCCTGCTCGGAGATGTCGTAAGTGGAGTTCTGCACAAGTTTAGAGTGTCTGCTGAAGCGATAGGAAACTATTGATTTGATAGCACGTAGCAACACCTTGACTTGTGATAGAATTTTGTCAACAATCCGACAGCGCGGATTATACACGCATAGAATGATGGCTCTAAGTGTGATGGCTCCACAACTTGATCGTGCAACATTTGCACGATCAAAATATGTGATCGTGCTAAACAGTGCTATTGGAAAAAAATTCAATTAATTCTTAAAAAATTTTCAAAAATTTTTTCATTCATTTTCAAAATTCAATTCATTCATTCCTTCTAGTCGGTACTTTATATCTCTGCCAACCATAATTTTTAGCTCCGTACACAGATTTCTTCTTCAAATCACGCTGTTTAAGACTTCACAACTATTTTAGAACGGCATTTTTTGGGCCAACAAGGAGCAATACCGACTCAATACCGACAGACAGCATTCCATAGTCGATACCATCGAAGGCAACGATTCCCGCCATCGAAGTTCACAGAATGTAAACAAATCCAAAGCCTCTGATTGGTCAGTTGGCCAGATGGTTTTGATAGTACGCTTTTAGCTAAGTCTTACGTACGAATGTTTTGATAATGCCAAAATTAGGGTGTACTTACGTAACACGTAACTTTTTTGTTGGAAGTACAAGAAGTTACGAAGTTTTGATTCCCCAGGAGAACAATTCAAGTTGAAAATCAAATTAGAAACCAGAATGAGAACTAATTTCACTATTGCACCAATTGTACTTCCCGAATGAGTTAGAACTAATTCCAGTCTCACCTCAACTGTTGATCATGAACTGTTGATCATGCCATGAAACCATCCATCACTGAATGGTGTCACAATTTCGGTAGGAATAGCATAATGACAAGTGAACGAATTAGTCCAGCCTGGCCTCGGCAGGTCAGAGCGTCGCGGCTCCCATATGCTGCGCTTTATTATATACTTCATGTCGTTGATTTTCGCACTACGCCATTATTTTTTAAGTAAAGATCGGGAATGGATATTTATATTGAAGATAATTAACGTTTCATGCAGAGGGAAGCAAGTATCTTGCTTGAAATGACCATGAATTTCTCAAGAAACATAAATGTTCAACAATGATATCAGAAAACAAGGGCCGAATCAATTTCCAAACTTATGTCTACCTACTCTAACTACATAATGCTAAGTATGTGGGACAAGTGACAAAATTAATCGTCCTAAATTAACAGAACATAACTAAGTATTCAGGAAGGAAGCTCTCACCTTGCCCAAGAAGGCCATAGCATCAGGGTTACCGGCCTCAGCGGCCTGCATGAAGTAGTTCAGGGCTCGCTGATGGTCCTGTTGCACGCCCCGACCTCCTTGATAGTGCAGCTGGCCTAGCCCTATCTGGAGGCAGAACAATTATGAAATTTATGTTGTAGTTATAATATAAATAAAAGTACGGGACAATAGAGAAAAAAATGGGAGAAACGGTTGTGTGAAGCTGGCCTAGCCCAGCTATTTCTTAAGGCCGAACGCTCTTGAAATTTCTAGTTAACTTTTAGAAAAGAGTAGGTGAAATCATAAAAAATGAATCACGGATTAACAAAGAAACATTGAAAATTGACCCAAATTTTAATTGAAACATAATGCATTTGAATCATAAAATGCAGCCCAATTTAGCTGCATAGAGGACATGAATATCAACATTCCCAGAAGATGAGACGGATCTAATTATCTTCATGATTTGAGCACCAACCATTCATATTTTGTATAACACAGAACCCAATGAAAAATGAAGTCGTAGCAAGAATAATATCAAGTAATCAAAAGCTTCCACAGAATAATTCATGAATACTGAGGATATATACACATTATCATTCATCGACAAAATAATATACTAAAATATATCACTATTAAAATATGTATTTTAATACAATATATAAAGATTTCTAAGCCGGACCTGAGCTTGCACATCGCCCTTCTCAGCAAGGAACTGGTAGTACTGGATGAGGTCGTCGTCAAGCATGCCTCCAGAGTTAGGGTTGTCTATCTCCTCCATGAGCCGCACGCGCTGCACTGCTCGACCTCCAGTCACACTAACTTGCTCACTCACTGCACCAACAATGCGATGTGAGTTACTGCTAAACTAGTGATGCTAACTTGCTCACTCAATGCACCAACAATGTGATGTGAGTTACTGCTCAACTAGTGATGCTAACTTGCTCACTCAATGCACCAACAATGTGGTGTGAGTTCAACAAATACTAGCTAATTCAATACAAGTACATCAATAAAATGTCATTTAAATATATAAATGCTCAACAAATACAGCCTGATTCCGTGTAAACAGATGAAGATAGCAATCTAATTTAGATGGGTTATTGCAAAAATATACATGTAATTAAAGTCAATGACAAGTGCTATAAATGATGAATAAGAATTTAGTTCACACTTCCAATGTCCTGAGAAACAATATTTAAGTTTATTATTTAACACAGCGATCGGCGTTATGTATAAAGAAATAAAAATAACTGTTACCAAGAAATCTGCATTAAATTTACTCTAAGCATAAGGAAATGCACTTAAATTAGGAGAGTCCAACATAAAGTATATAAGTTTTTGCAACACTGCCTAGACGAGAAGTTACATATGTTCTTGAGACTAAGGTAGCTCAAATTTACTTCCATATGTCAAGATGGGAATTAAAAATAATATGCTATATCTGCATTCATGAAAAAATTGTAGTAAGCAATGTAAGCTGATCCTACAACAGAAATATCAAGAACATCAAAAAGAATCACAATGCAAGCTTGCCAAAATTATGATAGCCACGTTGGAATAATTAGATTATCGTAATACAAAAATACATAAACTCTATCAAACAAAAACCTATTTCGAGCGCAGTACAAACCAGTGGTTGCCACCTTGCGGTAGTAAGTGAGTGCTGTCTCACAGTTAGAAGGCACCCCAATGCCAGCCCAGTAGCGATAAGCTAATGCCATCTGGGCCCACTCATTGCCACCCAGGGCACCAAATGTGAAGTAAACGAGGGCTTTGGCTTGACTGCTGTTGTGGCTGAGGCCTGCTCCATACATGAAACCTAGGCCCTGCACAACAAAATAATGGTTAGTCTAGGTTAGAGATTTCTGAGGCTAGTCATCAGAAGTTATTCAAGAACAATCTGAGTTTTCTTGTGGCAAAGAACTTCACCAATCATAAATAAGTCACCATTAAATTGAAAAAACTGTTGTTGATTAAATATTTTAATTTTTTTCATTGTAAATTAAAAAAACATACAGGGTTTGCTCAAAATAAGGGAAACAGCTTAAAAATTCATAAAATATTTTAATATAGTGTAAGTTGAGTAATGAACAATAAAATATTAAAATTAACCAAGTTTTTATCATTCATAATACATTCAAAAATGATTATATAAAAATGTTAGCCGTTTTCCTTACTTTGTCCAAAGCCTGTATTTTGAACCATTTAGGCATGTATATCCGCTGTTAATAAATGTCTTATCCTTAGAGCTTTAACCTTACCATCTGTCCTTCTGGATCTCCTTTATCAGCCAGCTCAGTAAAAATGTTACGAGCTTCTTGGAGATCCAATGGCAAGTGTTTGCCAAACACATGGCCCCAAGCAACTTGCCGCTTAGCTTTCCAGTGGCCTCTTGCTGCCGCCTCACTCAGCAAGAGGTAGGCGGGGCCTTCATCTGAAGGCATCTGGTTTAGATGTTGCTGAGCCTTCTCATAATATGAGGCCCCAGTACCTGGAAAATTATAATCAGTAAACACAATTTATCTGTATAATGAGATAAAGGCAAGAAAAAATAAGCTTCAGTGGCACCAGGAGCAAAAATATTAACACGAAAGTGGTATTTTTCTCAAAAATGATAAAAACTGGATATTAAATTCAATCCAAGCATTGACAGAACTGAGATTGTACAAGAATATTAGCTAATGCATGCTTGATTTTACAATAAAAGCAATCCAAATTTTATAGGTAGAAGCTGGGTATAGGTATCCTTAAATTTGAGAGCATAGAAAATGATGGTTTGGAGATTACTGAAAAATTAAGTTTATTTTCCTCAAAAGCATACCTTCTTCATTCTCATATTTGAACTGTTTCTCTAACTTTGTTTCAGCAAATTTTTCTTGCAGAGACTTTTTGTCATTTTCTTCACTTTCTAGTGTATCAAGCATTTTATCAGAAACAGTGTGTTTACTATTAAATAAAAGAGATAGAGTCTCTTCTAAGGATTTCAAGGGAATTTCTTGATTTACAGCTTGCAAATTCACTTCTTCAACTTGTATTGTGCCATCTACATCTTGCTTTATGACAAACTCCTTGGTGACTCCCTCCTCATCATCAAGATCATTCTCAAGATTTGAAGTTTCATCCTCCTGCAACTCCTTGGATGTGTCTTTTTTAGAAGTATCTTCAACATCTTCACTCTGCAAAAATATGAATGCAATTAGAATTAATAAAACAGATTCAATTGAAAAACAAATCAGAATCCAACACAAGAAAAACTTTATATGAATAAAATTCTAAAAAATATATAGAATAATTTTATGAAAAAAACATTGGAACAAGTATTTAATATTATATATGTATATATATTTAATAAATTGATAAACCTTTAGAATTATCAAAACTGAAAAAATTGCTAAGATTCAAGAAAATCATAATTCCAAATTTCCAATTCATTTTAAAATTTAAAATAATAATGAAGAACTCACCAGTGCACTGACAATTAGGATGGCAAATAGTAGGACACTGATAATGGGATAGCTAGCATATTTGGAAGCCATTTTGCATCAATCTTTGTAATTCCTGCTTGGTCCTGGGCTTAAGGCCTTTACTTGAACTCAATTGCTGTGAACCATAGGGCATGTTATAATTGATAGCTTAATATATGTATACTGTTTTAAACTTCTACCAGAGTACATTAAACTGATTCAAACCATCACATGCATAGGTTGAAGATGTAGAGTATATTTCAATCATGTACAATATCTGTTATCTTAAGGGAAAACTTGATAATTTCACTATTAAATACACAATCAAGCAATCATTATCCAGACAGTCTACAAAAGCCAATCTTAAAAATAGTTGAAAGAAATTAGTTTTCCAGTGGTACAGAATTTGAGACCTAGAGAGTCCTCAAATACTGGTATCACTGATTACTGAGTGATTTGGGAGTCATGAGCTCTAGCAATCAATGTTACCCTTGCCTCAGAACAGACGACCATAAACTTAAGGACAACCACTGTATATTTATTCTTACTCTGAATATATTTGATACAAATGATACTGATTGCAAAATAAAATTTAATTTAAAGATTCAAAAGACTCAATCCCATTCTAGAATATAGGACCAAAGTCGCATGTGAATCAATGCAACAAGATTGCTTGAACTAGCAGTTAATCCACACATTTTCACAGTTCTTGCCTGATTTCATAAAATAATGAGACAATGGCCTATTTTTGTCAATCTAGAACACTAGAATATCCAGCAGTTACCTACCAGCACCAGCAGAAATGCAAAAATGTTTTAAATATTACAGGTAGGAATGATTTTTTGCAGGCAATTTTCAAAAATTATTGCCAAAAATATACAGTTATTCAATTCTCTTCTTTTCAAAAAAGAAATTAGTCTACCAGTAAGGCAATTGCAATGAAAAAGGAAAAAATTTCCTATGAGCATAAAAAGTTTTGTCTCATTTATGGTAAGTTTCTGCAGTTCTGCCTGATGTTCCAGAATGGCATTTTAATTAGTGATTTTTTTTTTAATGCCTGTAAAAGATAAAACCATATTTTTACTTTTAACTTTTTCAATGAAATTCTGCTTATTATTCCACACTAGGCTTAACTTTCAATACAAGAATCTTGCTTCCTTCTCTGAATTCTGCCCTTTAGGTTGTAACTTGTAAAGTTGTAAGGCTAAGTTTTCAAATACACAAATGTTGATTAGGCCTATGGTAAGCTACTCAAGTTTTGATAAAAGATATAGTTTTGTTTTGTAATAATATTCATTATATCCATTGTCAAATTGTCACATAAAACTTGAAGGTTTAAAATCAAAACCTAACATTTTTTAAATTCAAATTAGGCATGAGCAAAAATGGTATAAACATTAAAGTCTAAACAGAAATGTGTTCAGTGTTGTCAATTATCATCATGTCAAACAGTCAAATTGAAGGTAAACTGTGAAGACTGAAGACGACGTCAGTCACAGTCAGGACACCAGTTGGTAGTTGCAAGTTGAGAGTTGCCAACTTGCCAGTTGGACTGTTGGACATTTCACATTTGTAGCCCTAAACTCAGAAAAGTTGAATTACATGAGTGTGGAATTCTAGAGGGATAATAAATTAACCAGTACACATAGCATATTGGAAAGCAGGACCTGAAAGCTTGGAAAGGCCAGGAACTTTACACTTTCAGTCCATTATTTACATATCCTATGTTCCTATCCCTTTCGAGAATTCCATCTGTGATTGGTTTGTGATTTTAGCCACTTTCAGCTTTCCAGCTGTGATTGGATAATGGAATTGTAATGTTAGCCTATCTGCTTTCTAGCTGTGATTGGTTGATGGAAATGCTTTCAAGCTGTGATTCATTGATGGGATGCTTTCAAGCTGTGATTGGTTGTGCCCATAAGCCCTGCGGCAGGGCCCCTGCCTGGCGCCCCCAAGTATGGTTATATGTACTACACTAACTACAGTACTTGTACTGGTTAACTACCTAAATACTTATCTGAAACTTGATCATTACAAACAAAAGGCCTGGAAATTTTTTTAAAAATCCATTAAATATAAGATAAATAAAAAATATTTATCAAACAAGAGACATCCAAATAATTCTATTACAAATCTAATATACTTTACATAATACAATTGAAACATTTTGTCCACTTTTAATCCTCTTTTTCATTTATAGCTAGTCAGTCTCCTGGAAGGCTGGCAGAGCACTGTATCCAAGAAAAGATTTTCACTTTGGAGTTTGGACCGTGGAAAGCTTTTATATAAGTGAACTTCCATTCTTAGAATTCCAGCCAATAATAAATAAATAACATGACAGTAACTCAGTAAGACTTAAAGACTGTAAGTGTAAGAGACTAAGAGCAGCTATGCCGTGGCCGTCTTCATAAGTTCGTTCTAGTTGACCGTAACAGCGTAGGTGTAGTTTGTTCATACTTCATAGTATTAGACTATTAGTAAGGAGAGAAGTCCCTTCAAAATTCAAGTCCAGGCCCCAGAGTACTCATTCCATAAATAAAATTGACAGTCGCTCACGCCTAGCAGTAGCTATTTCATCATTATGAAAAGAGCGAGAGATGGCTTTAAAATAGACACAATTGAGTAATTTTGACAAGACAACCACCAGCTATAAGCCCAAGGCAGTTGCCGATTACCTATCAACAGGCACAACAGCATTAGACGCTCATTTTGAATGGTAGTCTGCGGCACTAGTCTCTATCTGTTCTGTTCTTCGATAGGTTAACGGAGTGCTGCGCGTTGGACGATTCACTCCGGAAGCAGCAGTTTGTCAACGATTAGGGGTCAAAGCGGTGAGTTGAACTGATGAAGTTTTCCACGGCTCTGCAGGTCTGGGGCCAGGTAGTGCTGCTGGTGGTATCTCCTCCCAGTAGGGTTCCAAGACTGAGTACAAGTATCCCCTGGGAGTTTATCTGACGTCGCAGTTGGGAGCGGGCTTCAGCGTACTCTGTGCAGACTATGAGATAGTGATGTGCTGTTTCTGGCACTTGGCACGAAGGGCAGAGTGGTGATGGGACTTGGCGAATCTGGAAGAGAGACTTGTTTAGTGGAGCAGTACCGAGTCGTAGTCGGGCAAAGAGGGTCTCGAATCTCCTAGTCTGCAGCATGTGATGAGCCCATGGGTGAACTGATGGCTTGATCATTCCCAGAGCAAACTGTCCTCGGATTGATGTCCACTTCGCTTGCCAAAATTTCCAGATGTTACGATGTACCACTGACTTCAGCTCGGAGAAGTCAAAAGGGACTTGTGCTGTTTGGTCTGCAGACGTGGCTGCATGCTTGGCGGCTTTATACGCTGCCTCGTTCCCGTGCAGACCCGCGTGACTAGGTACCCACTGTAAGTGAACTGCTCCTGTTGGCAACAGATGAAGGTGCGCTTGAATGGCGGCCACAAGCTGAGTGTAGCTGCTGGGGAATGCTTGCTGAAGAAGCTGTAGTGATGAAC